TTTTAGGAAAATTAATTTTTTGACCAATTTTCTCATTTTTTGTAGGGGTTGCATCACATTTTTTCGAAAAATGGCAAAAAATGAAAAATTTTCAGGTTAGAATGCCAATCGATTGGAAATTAAACAACGAGCTCAACGAGGTATGACATTCCTCATTCTGACTTATACTTTTGTTATGGCAGCCAAAAAACTGAACTTTTTTGGTGAAAAAAAGGGTTCAAATTTTTGTCGAAAATTCGAAATTCAGATTTTTGTCAAAAATGCGAAATTTTTTTTTGGTTTTTGCATCGTAGCTCAGCCAAATTAAGGCGTACAGCTAAAAGACCGACTGTTTTGAACAGCTGGCTTAATTTGCTAACGATCCTCATCATTTTTAGGAAAATTAATTTTTTGACCAATTTTCTCATTTTTTGTAAAACATTTTTCACATTTTTTCGAAAAATGGAAAAAAATGAAAAATTTTCAGGTTAGAATGCCAATCGATTGGAAATTAAACAACGGTCTCAACGAGGTATGACATTCCGCATTCTGATTTATACTTTTGTTATGGCAGCCAAAAAACCGAACTTTTTTGGTGACAAAAAGGGCTCAAATTTTTGTAAAAAATTCGAAATTCAGATTTTTGTCAAAAATGCGAAATTTTTTTTTGGTTTTTGCATCGTAGCTCAGCCAAATTAAGGCGTACAGCCAAAAGACCGACTGTTTTGAACAGCTGGCTTAATTTGCTAACGATCCTCATCATTTTTAGGAAAATTAATTTTTTGACCAATTTTCTCATTTTTTGTAGGGGCTTCATCACATTTTTTCGAAAAATGGCAAAAAATGAAAAATTTTCAGGTTAGTATGCCAATCGATTGGAAATTAAACAACGATCTCAACGAGGTATGACATTCCGCATTCTGACTTATACTTTTGTTATGGCAGCCAAAAAACTGAACTTTTTTGGTGAAGAAAAGGGATTTAGTCAAAAATACGAGATTCAGATTTTAGTCAAAAATGCGATTTTTCTTTCCAGTTTTTTGGTCGTAGTTTAGTCAAATTAAGGCGTACAGCTAAAAGACCGACTGTTTTGAACAGCTGCTACCTCTGCTAACAATCCCACTTACTTTGAGGAAAAATAATTTTTTGACCAATCTCGCGTTTTTTGTAAGGAGTGCAATCCTAGGTACATCTGGGTGCAACCCTAGGTACACCTGGGTGCAACCCTAACTACTCCTGGGTGCAACCCTAGGTACATCTGGGTGCAACCCTATGTACATCTGGGTGCATTCCTAGGTACAAACCGTTTTTTATAGCAGCCAAAAAAGTGAACTTTGAGGGCGAAAAAATGTGATTTTTTTTTGGTCAAAAATACGAGATTCAGATTTTTGTCAAAAATATGAGTTTTCTTTACAGTTTTTCAGTCGTAGTTTAGTCAAATCAAGGCGTACAGCTAAAAGACCGACTGTTTTGAACAGCTTGCTTAATATGCTAACGATCCTCACATTTTTTCGAAAAACGGCAAAAAATGAAAAATTTTCAGGTTAGAATGCCAATCGATTAAACAACGAGCTCAACGAGGTATGACATTCCTCATTCTGACTTATACTTTTGTTATGGCAGCCAAAAAACTGAACTTTTTTGGTGAAAAAAAGGGTTCAAATTTTTGTCAAAAATTCGAAATTCAGATTTTTGTCAAAAATGCCAAATTTTTTTTTGGTTTTTGCATCGTAGCTCAGCCAAATTAAGGCGTACAGCTAAAAGACCAACTGTTTTGAACAGCTTGCTTAATATACTAACGATCCTCATCATTTTTAGGAAAATTAATTTTTTGACCAATTGCATCACATTTTTTCGAAAAATGGCAAAAAATGAAAAATTTTCAGGTTAGAATGCCAATCGATTGGAAATTAAACAACGAGCTCAACGAGGTATGACATTCCTCATTCTGACTTATACTTTTGTTATGGCAGCCAAAAAACTGAACTTTTTTGGTGAAAAAAAGGGTTCAAATTTTTGTCAAAAATTCAAAATTCAGATTTTTGTCAAAAATGCGAAATTTTTTTTCGGTTTTTGCATCGTAGCTCAGCCAAATTAAGGCGTACAGCTAAAAGACCGACTGTGTTGAACAGCTGGCTTAATTTGCTAACGATCCTCATCATTTTTAGGAAAATTAATTTTTTGACCAATTTTCTCATTTTTGTAGGGGTTTCATCACATTTTTTCGAAAAATGGCAAAAAATGAAAAATTTTCAGGTTAGAGTGCCAATCGATTGAAAATTAAACAACGAGCTCAACGAGGTATGACATTCCGCATTCTGACTTATACTTTTGTTATAACAGCCAAAAAACTGAACTTTTTTGGTAAAAAAAAGGGTTCAAATTTTTCTCAAAAATACGAAATTCAGATTTTTCTTAAAAATGCGAAATCCTTTTTCGGTTTTTGCATCGTAGCTCAGCCAAATTATGGCGTACAGCTTAAAAGACCGACTGTTTTGAACAGCTTGCTTAATATGCTAACGATCCTCATCATTTTTGGGAAAATTTATTTTTTGACCAATTTTCACATTTTTTCGAAAAATGGCAAAAAATGAAAAATTTTCAGGTTAGAATGCCAATCGATTGGAAATTAAACAACGAGCTCAACGAGGTATAACATTCCTCATTCTGACTTATACTTTTGTTGTGGCAGCCAAAAAACTGAACTTTTAAGGAAAATTTATTTTTGACTAATTCTCGATTTTTTTCATAAGGTGGTACCAAAATCTTAAGGTATGAATTCCATCCAATGTATCCCATTTTGTGTCTTATGACAGCCAAAACTCCGAATTTTTAGCGATTTATGTAAAAAGTGGTTAGTTTTCCATCTAACAAAAGGCCATATATAAAAATATATATTTTTTCTTAATTTTTATTGGTTTGAGCATGCTAAAAATACTGAGTTACCTAATTAATTAAATACCGAATGCCTATCGATTACAACCATCGACTACGTCTATCGAGAAACACACATCGCCGGAACAGGCGGGAAATCTGTGTTTTTGTTTGGCGACGTACATTTTTATTTACATTTGCTTGCATACTATTCCTCGATTATAATTTCAATAAACAATTTAAACAACCCGGAATAATGAGCAAGAAAGCAACACGAGGCAGCAAACCAAAACCCGATCCGGATGCGGAGAGATCTGCAAAAAAGACAACTGCTGCGGCGCTGAAAAAGGTGCTGTTTGTGTCGGAGGAACTGCTGCCCAAGGACGGGGACGATGGGCGCCTCCGGCTGGAGCGCTTTTTCCACCCTGGTCAGGGAAAGGAGGCTCTGTTCGTCACCCATCCCGACGGCCAGATGATGGAGCTGCTGGAGTACGCAGAGCCGCGTCGCAGTTGGCTGGTCAACAGCGAGGTGTGCTCGAATGGCAGAATCTACATGACCACGCCGGTGGATCCCACGCTCCTTGCCCTCCACCACCTCCGGAAGCATTGTGCGCAAAGTATGTTATATTTGCCCCTGTTCTTTGTATTAGCAATATTATAAATTAACCAACATTATCTTCTTTAAATAGGAGCAATGTCGCTGGACAACATTGCAGTGGAGGAGGCCAGCACCAGTCGGTTGCTCAACGAGATCCTCGACCCAGAGAGCCTAAAATGCGTGTCGGATGTGAAGAGCTCCGGCGACCAGAGATTCTATAAGTACAACCAAGAACGAACGTTGGCCTGGCTGGCCCTAAAGACGCGCCAGGTGGCGTCCATGCTCAAGGAGAAGCAAATCCACTGCGGGCACAGCGCTCAGTCGCAGAATTTTGTGCGGAGCGAGAAGCTGGCGTCGGAAAGTGTCACCAACGAAATGGACTACACACGCATGGCCTGCGACATTGTGGGGCGGTATTTGGATGCGGATCTGCATGGCCTGCTCACCGCCTATCTGCAAATTCCCAGCGAGATTCAGGCGATTGTCGAGGAGAAGGCTGCTGCCCAGAAGCGGAAATCCAAGGCGGGCAAGGACGAGGGCACCGACTCCAAAAAGATCAAGCTAAATGACAGCGATGCCGCCGCCAAGCTAAAGAGCAGCGGTCTGGTGGACAGCGACGCCGATCCCAATGCCAGCATCACATCGCCCACGCCGACTCCGCTGAAGGAGCGCTCGCTGACCGCCAAGGAGAAGGCCCTGGCCAAGGGCGCCAAGGGAACCAAGAGCATTGCCTCGTTCTTCAAAGTAAAGTAGATTTAGGTCACTCATAAGTTAATCATAGGATTTCTTTTTTTTACTCACATTGGCTCATTAGTTGGGGTACTTTACCTACTACGAATGTTTCATTTTTTACAATCAATATAATTCTATTAGTTTTCATTCACTCATTTTTATTAAAAGTTAAAATATAAAGTTTTTTTGTGGTTCTTAAGATAGATCCGATTAATTATTTTAGAACGTAATCTAAAATAAAATAAATAGATTTATACATTAAACAGTTTTTTGTTGTTTTTAAACTGATCTAAGTTAAACATTTATGTACTTAAATCTTTTTAACTAATCTGGATTTAAAAACCGCGCCCATTGAGCGCATGCGCTCTTTAATCATCCCTCTTCCTTCCACTTGGTAAATTATTATCAGCTGTTAAGGGTTGTCAGGCTTATATAGATTAGATTGGCTCAGGGTTTTTCTAGCCTAAAGTTGGTGTATTTACTACAATTTTAAAGTATATTTATAGACACCTAAAGGCAGAAAAAAATAATTGTAAAGTAAAATATAAAATATATACTTTATATTCACCAGGATTTATTATATTTCGCATTCAACTAATCGAGTCTAAAAAAACAGAAGTTTACAGTTTCGAATCACTTTAAAATGACCCTAAAAGAATGCTGTAAATAATAAAATGTTGAATTCCGGATAAGATTGGTAGATTCAAAGATACTGCAGCATACTTTTTTAGGCTCTTAAAAAAAAATGGTTTCATTTTTCACGAGTGGGGTGGCAACCCTGCGCGTCAGTTCAAAAGCTGTTGGCTCCTTTGTTTCCGTTTTTGTCGCTCAGTTGTTGCTGTGCGCGCTCCCACGTTCGAGGCTAACGGTAAATTCCGCTTTGCGCTGTGATTCGCATTTCACCACCCCCCATTTCCCAACCCCGCATTCGTATATCCTGCTCCTGCTGCTGCTGTTGTTGTTGTTATCTATATGCCTTAAATTTTCGGCTTAACAACAATTACAGCGGATATATTAGCACATTTTCCCCACCTTCCAGTGTTTGCTTTCCCGTTATAAAAATTAAATTGTAAACGATTGAAAAAAGAGAGAGAGTGGCGTCACACGAAAAGAAAATTTTCTTTGGCGTCGCCGAGGTGTTTGTGTATGTGCGAGTGTGCTGGTGTGTGTGTGTGTGCGCTGGTGCTCTCTTGTGTGATTGTGTTAGTTGGCGTGGCAATAAAATAATAATAATAAAATCATCAGTTAGCAACAAATTTTCTCTTCTTCTCATCTGCAGCAGCAGGAGCAGCAACAACAACAAACGCAACGCACAAAAGCATGCTACGCTAAATTGCATTTGGCGTCTGTCAAGGACAAAACAAAACGCTGTTTGTGTGAGTGCAACCGCAACAACAATAACAATAGCAACAACAGCATGTGGCACAAATAACGGAACTGCAAAGTATCAACAGCAAGGAAAGAAAGCAGAAAAAAAACTAGATAGGAAAACAAAACAAAGGGAAGGAACAAATCACACACACGAGGGGTAAAAAACTAAGGAGAAAAAAACAAACGGAGGCTGCAAAAATAAGAAAAAAGAGGAGAAAAAGGGAGAGGCAACACACACACACACATACATACCCCCGCCCCCTTCACATCCGCCATCCAGGACATTTGGCGCCAGCTTGGGCAGCGACTGCGACGTCGACCGAGGCAGCGGCAGAGAACCATGTGTCTCCATCCCTCTCACTCTTACACAATTGCGCTGCAGTGGCTCGTGCTCTCCTTGTCCCTCCTTTTGGCGCTGCTGCCAGCGAACGTAAGTGCTCATCATTTCATCAATGTTGCAATCGAAAACAACAACTTTAAATCAGCATATTTATTTTGGGGGACAAAATATATTATAGAATATCTTGTAAATTTAAATTCTAGAATATCCTTTTAGGAAAACCTTTATTTTGCTTTCCTTATTATTTATGACATCTATAAGAAATTGACTTTTTTTAAAAATAATAAGTGTAGGGCATTTGTTACTTCGATTTCCTTGAATTCCATCTGTGGGAAAATAAAAAAAAGATAACGAATAAACAAGGACGCATCAATGTTGCATGCACCTTTGCATTTTAATTTAATTGCTTTGCATTCCCAACGGCAATAAATGCATTTAATATTCTCACATTTCTTTCGCTCTTTTAAGCACATAAATAAAGTATAAACTCAGAACAGTGGAGACTCACTATGGACGACCGTTAAATAAGATGGTATTTTTAATAATATTATAATAAGTCACTAGATAATGCAATTAAATTGATGGACTTTGACTGTATTGTATTAATTAAAATATTTTAAATGAAAAATATTTATCACAATGCTCAAGAATTCGCGTTCTATTTTTATGAATTTCAACTTTAATGTTTTTTATCTTACGTTTTTATCCTTTTGTCAGTTAAAAAAAAATGTTATGACAAGTGTTCATCAAGTTTTCTATTTTTACAGGTGTCGGCTAGATTTTGCGAGGGCTGCAGTCAGGGATGTTGCACCCAGGGCTGTTGCCCACCGTACCAGGGCGGGCCACGCCCCCTTCCGCCTTCCTCGGACTCCCACGTGCTCAATCTGTTCTTCGCCACCCACTGGTTCTTCTGGTAAGTAATACAGGTCTCAGGAGTAGATAAATCCGTTTTTCACTAATAGACTTACTAATTACTAAGCAGTAATTAGGACTAAGTTTATAACTTTTTTTTGGTAAACCTCTTTAAGTTGGTGGTTTTTAAGGACAGACCTAACTAGTTCTATCAATTTTTCCCAGATTTCGATTATTTTAATTGCAGTAAGAGTGATTTATTTATTTACTGCGATGGTTTGTGTGTGTGTCAGGGTCATGGTTGCATTTGTTTTTCTTTTTGGGGATTCCCCGGAGGTCGACTGCAAGGCCGTTCAATGGGGGGCGTTTGGTGGGGGGAGGGGGTGCATAGGGTGGATAGGGTGGCTAGGGTGGCTTGGTCGGACTTCCAGCTGATTGGCATTGTGTGCCATGCGAGATATTATTATTATTGGCAGCAAAGGTGGCGCCCAGTGCCGGGGTTGCGTCAAGTCAAAAGTCGAGTCAAGTCGAGAGGCTTATGCAAGCTGTACCCGTACCCGTATATGTAGGCACCTCCCTTGGGGGCCATGGAAATGGCAATGCCAACTAATGAGACACAAACGGAGACCCTCCCGCCACCCTGCTCATATAATCCCATCTCTCGGCCACCGAAAAGGCAAACAAATTTCAGTCGGAATTCGATTACGGGCACAGCAGGACACGGTTCCACATCCGCATCCACACATCCGGTTCCGGCCAAATGGGCTTCTTCATTCAGTCGCGCCAGCTGCAAACCGAGCAGTGAATGATCCCCACTTTCGCACACAAAACGATTTATCAGCTAAGTTTCATGGGGATTTTCTTAGAACTCAAGCTTAGCTGATAAATTAGTTCACCTCTAGAGATCATTGGAATTTCTATTAATATAATATACCATTTTCATTGCAGGTGCGTGGTAGTAGCCATTATCTTGGCCATCCTGTGTGCCTACTCCTTGTGGAAGAAGCGAAGGACCCTGTGTGGCTGGGGATTCAATGAGCACCACACCCAATCCGAGGGAGATTCAGCCGGTTCCTGCTATGCTCCTCCGCAATACAGTCGCTGCAACTCATTTCACCATCCGCCGCCGCCCTACACGGAGGTAACTATACTACCCTAAAGATTGGAGCAAGCTAAGAACTGATCACCCACTTCTTTAGGTCACCTCCAAACCGGACCTGTATCCGCTCGTCTTCACTTGCAACAGTGATTCGGGCAATGGCAAGGGCAACGGCAGCTCCAGCTACCTGATGGTCCAGTACTTCCGGAACTACATTGTCCGGCCGGCGGCGGGCGGATCCCTGAGTGCGGCCAGCACCGTTGACTCCCTGAGCTCCAGCTTCATCTGCAATGCGAACGAGGCCAACACTTTGGTGCCGCCGCCATATTCCCGGGCAGCCAGTCCGGAGCTGGGGCTGCATCACTATGTGGCCCATGCCCATGCACATGGTCATGGCCATGGACATGGCAATAGCCACCTGAGATCCATGGAGCAGGCGGCGCCGCACCAGGTGCCCAGTGCTCCGCTGGCCTCTGTGCACTATGCCATGCCGAGATCGGCATCCCAGCTGGTGGAGCCGGACGCCTATCAGCCCAGACTGATGCCCGCCCAGGCGCAGCACTATGCCACCGTGGCGCTGGGCAGTGCTCCGGGCGGAGGAGCCCTTTACAGCACCCGGCTGCACGCCTCCCACGAGGAGGGAGTGGGCGTGGGCTACCTGCAGTCCCAGAGTGACCAGCACTTCCGGTACTTGGCGAACAGCAGCAGCAGCCTAAGCGACATCTTTGTGAACAACAGCTGTGTGGCAGGTGGGTAGTGGGAAAGGGGTTTTATTCCTAGGCCGCGAGTTCTTCAGCAAAAAAGAGAGAGGATACAATTCAAGTTTTTGCTGGGACATAAATATACTTATCTTGCCTACAAGATCTTTAATAATCTGACGCTCTTTAAATCTATCTAAACAACAGTTTATTATTTGTAAAATTGACTGTATTGTTGACCGCGAATTCTTCAGCATAAAAGAGAGAGATCATATAAAGATTTTGACATGAATTTATAGACCTCATGGATATACATCGCTTGTCTACAAGATATTTTATTAATCAGACTCACTTCGAATCTTTCTGAACTATTACAATGAATTTTATTTCTACGCCGCGAATTCTTTAGCATAAAACAGGTACGATTAACTACAAGTTTATGCTGGGAATTATCTTACCTCTTACTTATCTAATATATTTCTGATTTGAATCACTTTAAATCACAATCATAACAATAACTTACTAATCATTCACACCTATGCTTTCAGGAATGTTGCCAGAGAGTGGAGGAGCAGGCGGTGCCTCCCAGGGCGCGGAGAGTGGAGCGGCCACGCAGGCGGCCTCCCTGAACAGCCTGGCCATGGGTGGCTTGGGTGGATCGGTCACTGGCGGCACAGGGGCTTCGGGAGGAACTGGCACACCGGTGATATACAGCAATGGTTGCATCCAGCCCAATCCGCTGCACAGCCTGGAGAACTGTTGCCAGCCATCGGCCCAGGTGTCCGGAGTGAGTAGTCTGGCCAACATTGGGACACCGGGATCGCCGCCCCAGGCCACCAGTCCGACGGGCGAGGTGCGTGAAATTCTCGACCAGATCCGGCAGCTCCAGGCGGGCGTTAGCTACGAGCAGCTCCTGCTCAGCGGAACGGGGGCCAAGCCCCGGCTGCAGCACACGCTATCGACGCCCTCGAACACCCAGCAGGTGCTGCAGCCCATCCTGACCACATCCGCATCCATTTCCGGCGGCAGCAGTGGGCGGAGTAAAAAGTTCTTCACCTCTGGCAGTAAAACGCAGCCGAACAAGGCTTTGTACATACCAATGGCGGCCATCGGGGGATCCGGTTCGGGATCGGGAGCCCAGCGTTGTGTGCTCAAGAGTCCGGTGAGCAGTGTGGTCAGTGGAGCCAGCTTCTTTGTGAACCGGGGACGAACGGCGCGCAAGGGATGGATCACCCGATCGGCGCCCACGACTCCGGGCAGTGCCCTGCCCCCCAATCGACTGGGTGACGACAGTCCGCTGCTGCTCAACGAGCACGATGAGGATGCCATCGACGATGATGATGAGGAGGAGGAGGAGGAGCGTGATCAGCTGGATACCGACAACGAAACGGAGGCGGAGGCCAGGAGCCATCATCGCCAGCATCGCCATCATCGCGGCCATCGCAGCCATCGCCATGGACAGCTTGAATAATAGTGGGCGTGGCCGTTGGAGTCGCCAGTGTCATTTAGTAGTTGTTGTTGTAGCTCAAGGTTCTCCTTTAGAAATAAGCTTTTAAACGAAAGTGGAGAAATGTTTGGGAGCCGGCGGCACGCTTCTTAGTCTGAAGAGTCTTGAAAAGCTAGGTCGTTTGAATCTTAGTTCCGTTTGTAGCATTAAAAAGTTCTCATTTTCTAGAATTCGATATATTATAGATCATTTTATCGAGTGGTTTAAATTCTCCAAGTTATTTATTTTTTATTTAATGAAATTCCTAAAGATCTTTAAATCTTTTATTTTAATATTCATATAAAAACTATAATTTCCGAATACTTTTATTAAGGAGCAGAATTGAATTTTATTTTCCGAATTTTTCCAACTTTTTTAAGCAGTTTTAATGGCAGCGTGACAAGTAAGACAGTCAGTTAGTTGTAAGCGTATTTAGAATAGGCTAAAAATGTTTTGTGAAATTTTAAACTGAATGAGAGACGTTAACGAAAGATGTTAAGCTTTGATTAACATTCTCCAGGAGTTCTGACAATAGTTCAATAAAACTAACCATTATTTCATCAAGCAGTATTATCAACAAAAACCTACCAGAAGTATATGATTATTTATACCTACATTGAAAAATACCTACTATAAAACTCATTTCTATTTAAAATTTGAAAATGTCTGTTTGTTGAGCTTCCGTGGATAGATAAACAATTTAGATATACCTAAAAATAGCTGTCGTTAGGTTCAGATAGTCTAGCAATTGCGAATAATATTTAAATTAAACATTTGAAATTTGTAAAAGCTGGGAAGGTTTCAGGACATTTCAAAATAATGATTTCCAACTCTTAGTGATTAAAACTTCTATAATATAACCTTCAATTTCCGACTTACCCTAACCGATTTTATATTGCTTTCATATAAAGTTTGACAGAGCTTGAAAACTTTTAAAAGAATAAGAATTGCACAAAAGATTTAAATCGATTTAGGGTATGTGGCATTTGATTAAAAAAAAACAAAACGAAGAAAACCAAAAAAGAGCAGATAAATTAAAAGAAAAGAGAACAAGTTTTTGTCGACTAGATGGAGTTTTTGTAAGTAACTAGAGGATAGGAAATTGTTCACACACAAGTAATGCAAACACGTCACGTACAGATACAGATACTTCGGTTCGAGGAAGTCCTTATAAACAGCTTGGGGATATGTGAAATATGCAAAACTGTGCGGGCATTCGGTTGGAAATCAAGGCACAAGCACTAGACGGGAAATCTAAATTAAATTATCTCTAAACATAAAATTACCAAATGAGACTAAGGGGTTACGATCCGGGGGCTAAGAAGGAAAAAAGTTTGAATGCAGCAGTGCCTTTTCAACTATAAAAACCACAACCAAAAGAAGCGCAAAACCAGACACAAATTTAAATTTATTACCAGATGGAACCCGAAAACAAAGCTTATCCACAGACAGTAACAGACACGAAGTAAAACAATCCAATGGACAAGGCAATATTTATAGATCTGCTTAGGCATTAGATATATGATATATACCCGAATACGTGTATGTGACAATTACTTTAAGTGAATTTTACAATTCATTGATATTTTCCTTAGGCGGTTTCGTTTGGGTCCCTTATCGATCGGTTATTCTGGCTTATTTAAACACGAACCAGTTCGAATATCTGTGCTTCAATACATATAACTATATAATTAAACAATTGATTAATAAACTAGCATAGCAAAACTGAAGGCGTTCAAGGCATACATAAATCTGCAAAAGCAAGTGAATTGTTGTAAAGTCGGATAACGAAAACCAAAACAAATGAAACGAAAACCAAAACAGAACTAAGAAACCAATTTAAGTCAAATATACAAAGATGGAAAGTAAAAACAATAAATGAAAATGAAATTCAGCCAAAGTGTGCTTTTTTATTACACTAAAATATTACCAGAACTATTTTATACCATAACAAATCAAGCTAAAAATAACTTCTTATCACTCCCAAAAATCGGACCACCTGCACAGGTATTTATGATACCTCTTCACAACTATTTCATTCATTTTTTACTTTTACTAAACCTTTAAAAGAGCGGTCAATCGTTTGCTTATAAGCTCTGATAATAATCTCCCCCGGGGCTTGAACTTTGATTCAGTGAGATTTACAAAACCCCAAACAATCAACAATCGACTATATATAGATGGACGCCTAATCTTAATACAATAGCAATGCTTGGCTATAATCTGCCATCGACTGCGAAAGAAATGATAAGCTGGCTAGATTTCTAAATTCGTACGTAATGCTAATCAGCTGGAACAGTCATATATAATCGTTAAGAGTACTCAGGAACCTGGAAACGATGATAGTCAGGGCTGACTGATCCTTGTAATGAGCTACTGAATGATATTTTCACTGAAAACCATTCGATGTTGGGGTAAATTCGTGTTCTTAATCCTTAGCTAACACTGTTTTTTAGCCACTTCATTTTGGTTCAGAATAGTTTTCTATATGATCATCTAATCTCTTTGAATTTCTGTACAATATTATCTTGTTATTGATGATCCTCGCTGTCTCGAAGGATCTTAAAATGTGTATTCTTTTAATAATGTTCTTTAAAATATGATATGATATATTAATATTCCTGGATAATCGGAATGATCTCTTGAAGAAATATTCTTCTTTAAATATTTATTTAGGAAATTACTTAAGAATATATAAAATAGATTACAGGGACTCACCGGAGCCAATGGAATCCACTGGGTGTAGGGCACCGGGGGATCAGAGAACGAACTTCAAAGAGCGGCCGAAGTAGTTTCCGCCAAGACCTCGACCACAATGGACACCTTGCTGGCTGGCTGGACGCAGTCCGGGGAATTCCTGCAGGATCGATGGAGCTGGCTGCTGGACACCGTGGGCGAGGATTCGTGGCGCCTCTGGGTGGTTGGCAGCACGATGGTCATCTTCGCAGTGTACTGGCTCTACGCCGGCATCTTCACCCTGATGGACATCACGAATAGACCGCGATTCCTGCGCAAATACAAGATCCAACCGGGCCAGAATGAGCCAGTAGATCTGGCCAGGCTGTGGGCTGCCGTCAAGGTGGTGCTGTTCAATCTGACGGTGGTCAACTTCCTGGCCTGCTGGGCAATCTACGAGCTGGTCTACAGAACGGAGAACAGCGGGGACATCCGGGTGCTGCCCACCTTCCGGCGATCGCTGCGGGATGTGGCCATCTTTGTGGTCCTGGAGGAGATCATGTTCTACTATGCCCACCGACTGCTGCACCACAGGTCGGTGTACAAATATGTCCACAAGAAGCACCACGAGTGGACGGCTCCCATTGCCGCCATCACGCTGTATGCCCATCCGGTGGAGCATGTGGTGGCCAATCTGCTGCCGGTGGCCACCTCCATTGCCCTCCTGGGCACCCATGTGGCCCTGGCCTATGTGATCTTCGCCCTGGCCATAGTCAACTCGATGAGCGACCACACGGGCTACAGCTTCCCCTGGTCGGCGGGATCGGTGCGGTTCCACGACTACCACCATGCCAAGTGGGTATCCTGTCCTTCCTTATCTTTGTAATTTATTCAGAATCATCCTCCTTCTTCCAGGTTCAACTACAACTATGGAGTGCTCGGTCTGCTGGACAAACTGCATGGCACTTATCGCACTCCCGCGGATCAAAAAAAGGTTCCTGTGTCCAGGATAAGGAATTCTAAGAAGAAGTCTAAGTAATCCAAGCGTCTGATTTATTTGTTTAGGTGCCTTTTTTGTTTTTTTTTTGAGATAATAAATAAAAAAATGTTTAATACACACAAAAAAAATGTTTTATTTAAATTGACTAATATATTTAAATGGGCACAACCCATCGAATTGTCAACTTGAACAACTAAAAAGTTACTTTAACAACAGCAAAATACACACAGCTTACAATGATATAGTAAAAATACAATAAAACAGTAGGTTTATAGTAAGCCTACAGTAAAACAAAAGGTTTATAGTAGGACTACAGTAAGATGGTAAGTTTACTATAAACCTACTGTAAAATTGTAAGTGTATAGTAAACCTACAGTAAAATAGTAAGTTGTGTAAATTTTGTAGTAGTTTTACTATAACTACTTTAAATAGAAGTAAATACTATCTGTATTGAAAAATTTAACCCAACAATTTTATTGTTGTATTTCTTTGACATATTTGTTTTGACTTTTTAAGAAGTAAGCCTTCTGATTCCTGTGCAATTTATTTAAATTTTTAAATAATACTAACAGAGATATAAAATTTAACAAAATAGGTGTTATTGCAGTGGGCGTTATTGCATGCATTCACATAATTGTGGGTACTTACAAATTTTTCTTTGCTATGCTAGGTGATACTCACCAATTTTACAACCTAAAGTCTCCCAATCTCTAATTGATCGATTCTATTTTGAATTCAGTTTTTAGTTTTGCCACCTCCAACGGTTTATTGCTGGTGGTGTGCACTTGTGCAAAAAGCTCTTATCGCCCAAGAGGCCCCCCGCCTTATCACCAGGCACACTAAATTTTAAAGTCGAATAACGAGGGATTCACTATAGATACGGGTTTATTGAGTGTCGCGCAGCAGGGCGCCGTCGTCCAGGCCGCCGATCCACTCGCAGATTCTCTTGAAGAACTCCACATCCACTAGTTCGATGATGCGCACGTTCTCCGGATACTTCTCGCGCTCCCGCAGATGATCGAGTACCATCTGACCCCTGGTGTGGGTGCCCCGCAGGTCCACGGTGGCGTGCCAGGTGCTGTGCCTCCGGATCAGGCGGTCCCCGAAGAGCCAGGCGGCCACCACAATGGCGTCGCAGGGGTTCCACGTGTCGATCCCGTACTGCTCGATCATCGGCAGCCACTGGGCGGCCTCCACCTGGTTGAGCAGGGTGATCGCCGGATGCCCGGCCTCCTTGGCCCTGGCGGCGAACTCCTTGAGGCGCCAGTTCTGCAGGAGGAGGAGGATTAATTACCACGATTCCATATACAAGTATAAATAGATTTTCTGCCCAATTACTATTAACTACTTTACCCATTTTAATGTAGAATGTGTTTTGAGTTTTAGAATTTCGGATTAGACATCCCTCAGAACATCTATATATATATATCTCATCATAGAACTCTTAAGTAAGTATATATATATATCTCATAATAGAACTCTTAAGTAAGTATTTGCAATATGAACTATACAAAACTCTATAAATTCTGTATCCACCATCAATTTACCAAAAAAAACTAACCAACTAAACCCATTAGGATTCCGTTTAAATTTTGTTTACAAAAATGTATCTGAAATAGCTATTTTAAAATCTTTGTACCTAAAATAAGTGTTTTTTGGAAGGAATAGGGTAAACCTCTTTAAAAGATTTATGAACTCAACGGAAGTCTCACAGAAACTCAGACTGTTTATATGTTAAGCGAAAATATGTACTCCAAGCAAACAATTTGCAGACCTGGTACAATATCGTAATATCATTGTATACCCCAAACATATGGGAAAAACCCCATGGCGTGAACTTCAAGTTCACGAGCACTCTTTACTCACAATGGGTATGTTGAACCTATCCGGGAGGCAGGGCTCCCATGGCAGGATGGTGATGTGACAGCGGGTCTTCAAAAGCACCGTGTGAGCCGCCTCCGGATCCGAGTGAAAGTTGAACTCCGCCGATCGCGAGGAGTTGCCCACGCCCTGGTAGTTGCCTCCCATGATGAACAGATCCCGGAAGTTCTCTCCGAACTCAGAGCCGTACATGGTATAGCCCAGGGCCAGATTGGTCAGTGGGCCCACGGCGAAAACTGTGATCTGTTTGGGTTGGGCGCGGCAGAGGTCATGGATGGCGGTCACCGCGTGCTCCGGCTCCACGATGCCCTCCAGGGGACCGAGGTCGTCTGTGAGACAGTCGCCGAATCCGTCGCGACCATGGAAATACTTCTTGTCGTCCTCCTCGGTGGGAATCATGGGATCCACGGCGCCCAGGTAAATGGGAACCTGTAATAGGTAAACATCAGTCACAAAGAGCATTTGAAACATCCCTAACTCAACTTTTCAGAAAGAAGATATATATAATGTCTATAGTATGGGTATTCACATTAAGAAGCTCATATTCGGATTACTATTCTTTGATATTACAATCTGTATACAAAGACCTTTTTAAATTACATTAATGAAGCTAAAGTGTCTCCTTTATTAGATCTTGCGAGATTCCGCAGCCTCAATTGTTATTCTTTCCTTATTGTATTTGTGCATGAATGAATATTCGATTGCATGAATCATTACAAATAATAAATGATCTGTTTAAGTATTTCATGTTTTCAAGAAAATACACACAACATACTATGAAATAGTAAAATAAGACTAAATAGTAACTTTAAAGTGAAACTATGGTAAAATAGTAACCTTACAGTAAAAGTACTGTAAAATAGTAAATTATATTACTATTTAAAAAACTACCAACAGAAATACAAAATTAAACAAAGTGGGCGTTATTTCACTGGGCGTTATTACATGCACCCAAATCATCAAAAACAAAGAATCATCTGTTTGAGTATTTCATGTTTTCATGTAAAGAAATCCACAAAATCAATATAAAAACATAGCAAAGGTAAATAGTTGGTTAAAAAATATTTTTGGTGAATATTTTAAAGATTGCTTAATCACTCCAATTTTTGATAGCTTTTATTGCACTTAGATATGTTTATCAAGTTGAACTTTATAATTTGTACTCCAACAAGAACCCGAGTTCAAACACCATTGCTGCCTAATAAGTTTTTATATGTAATTTACACTAATATCGTTTCAAAATTCACGAAACATCAAACTGTTCAATTGATTATTTTCTTTCTGTGCACTTGAGTTTATATGAATTTATTTATATTTACGTCTGTGCGCTTGCAGGCATCCAGAATCCGTCGCATATTGCGGGCCGCGTTCTCCCGCCTGGTGTTCCCACAGCCCATGGTGGTGATGGCCAGGAGGTGGATCCCGTGGCTCTCGGCCGCATGGAGCAGCAGGAGCAGGGCCCAGGCATCGTCGCTACCACCGTCGCAGTCAAGGATTGCGTATCTGGCGGATGTGGATGTGGATGGTGCTCCTCCTCCACCGTCGCCTCCTCCTGTCCCGTTTGCCACTGTGCGTCCGTCTGCCATCGCCGGCAATTGGTGAATGTGCACAAACGGCGGACTACGGACTACCCATATAGAGAACACTCAGTACATACGGCAATCATCTGGTCGCTGCCGGACATCGTCTATCGGTTCGCCTCGGTTCTAGTTCTGGGTATGGGTAGGTTTACTCTACTGGTAATGGCACTGTTACTGGCACTGGCACTGGTACTGGTACTGGGGCATGGGCACTACCAGAGTGCCATTTCATAACTCTCTCGCCGTTTCCCGACGCATTTCACACGTATGGTGCGCGATATGTCCGACATGTGTGCATTTCATATCTGCGCTGTATTTCACGTTCGAGTCAATACCAAGCGAGAGCGGGACAAACGGATAAGATGTGTGGGAATACTTTCACTGATAAGGTCGCCAATCCAATGCCCTAACTTTTTGGGAGAAAGTACCGCACTACGAACCCCTTAACTACAGGGATTTCCCCTCAAAAGAGGTTACCAAAACGTAAAAAATAATAAAAATGGAATATTACAACTTGCTATTAAAGTATTTTTAGTCAATTTTCAATTTTTCAATCTACTATATTTATTGTAACACAACTATTCGCATTGGTAAATTTCAAACCAAATAGCTTTATATGCTACATTTTTATTATTAATCCCAACCTTACATAAAATGAATTTTTTTCTATAGCTTACTATTATTTATAGTTACATAACTATTCACATTGGAACTGTATATCAAAGAATTTTTTTGTGTGTACCACTTTAAAACTAAAAATGAAAGACAATTTAATACAAACCTATGCCTTATCTCTGGGACTTTCCCGGAATCGAAGTTCCAGAAATCTGTTGATGTAGGGAAGAATTTGTGGGACCCAGAACAAATTGAATTCACAATTTAATTCAATGAGTCCCGGAGGCGGGATCCGAAGGGCAACTGGAACCACTATTGTAACAACTATGGTAATCAAGTTGCGGCAGGTCGTCGCGATTATAACGAACCATAATGAGAGTCGTTGTCCGTCGCCCACTTGCGACACTTGAAGTAATCTAGATTTTGGAATGCCAGACGGGAGGTACATCATATATATATATTACACACTTGTACGAACATAGAATAAATGAGCGTGGAACACCCACTTAAGCCATTAAACGCCTTTGCTCTATTAAATAGAGTCTATTTGCATAGTCTTTTTTGATTAACGAGTGTTGCGATAGTGAAAATTATACGAACGTTTCTTTTATGTTTCACTTCTGAAATGGAAATAACCGTTGTTTAAAAGAGATAAATAGATTAGCAAATATTTATTTTACTTAATTAAACTAATTCTTAAGCTTATATGTATATCTTACTATATTTTGTAGGATCAAAAAAAGTTGGAGGTACTCACATAAGTATTTTCCCAAAACTGTGATTTGAGTAAGAGTGAAAATTTATCAACTTATTAATTATTAACTTATAACTTATTAGATTAAGAACTTTTGCTACTTATAAAAAACACAATTTTTGTTTGAGTAATATCAGTATTTGTAGTTATTATTTAGTTATTATAATATTTTTACTATAAAATTAGAAATGTATATATGAAATATTCAAAAACTTAAAACTAAAATTATACTCCCCTTTGCAGGGTATACAAATAATTATATGGATGTACGGCATTCATAGCTTAAATAATAACAAAAAAATCTTGTAACAACTACCTACATGATTCAGAAAATAAAAGTTGAGTCAATGTAAAAGCAATTCCCTAAATACACTGGTCTTGAAGAATGTTCTATTATTTAAAAGCACTAATTCAAAAATAATATATGTATATTTTTTAAATAATAATAAAATCATATGTTTGGTGGATGATAAGATACAATAACAACAGCTTGTAAATTCACCACTTCAGAACAGCTGGACTTATGGGAAATTCACCTCATTACTACAGATGATTGTAATGCAGAAAGGTACATTATGCAGGTTACAGGTAAGTTTGTTTAATTATTCACTTTAAAACAAAGCTTAAATGTTTAATTAATTGCAGAAAACTGTTGGGAAATCAACAAATCAGCTCTGTCACATCCTTCATTATGATCCTAAGCCCAGAGATATCTCAAAGAGTGACTGTGGTCAGTGACTTAGGAACAACCCACAAAATTTAATACTACTACTTAATATTCGATGGCAACAATGAGCCCCAAAACAAAACGATAAATGTGTTAATCGATAGAAACGGAAAGGTAGTTTGGTTGGAAACCCCTAGCCATGGAGAACAAGAATCGCCTAGTGGTCTACGACTGTGACATAGGCACCGACGACGCCTGGGGCCTGGCCATGATGCTGCGGGCGGAGGGGGTGGTTCTGCCGGGCGGCAGGAGCTCCAAAGTGGTGGCCATCACCACGGTGCAGGGCAACACGGACGTGGACAATGGGACACTGAATGCCCTGCGGGTGCTGCACACGCTGGACAGGAGGGATGTAAGATCTTACCGAGAGAACCTCCTAAAACCCTTCTAATCCTGCATCTCCTCCATAGGTTCCCGTCTTCAAGGGCTGCGCCGAATCCATTGTGCCACGCACTTGGTCGTACACCTCCAAATTCCATGGCCAGGATGGCTTCAACGATGTGGGCGGCTATCCGAAGGTCAGTGAGGAGCAGGAACTGCAGCCGGAGCATGCCGTGAATGCCATGTACCGCCTGGCCTGCGAGAATCCTGGCCAAGTGGACTTCCTGCTCTGTGGGCCACTCACCAACTTTGCCAACTGCATCAATCTCTATGGTCGCTCGTTTCTGGACAAGATTGGCGGCGTCTACATTATGGGTGGCAACATTTTCGGCAAGGGCAATGTGTCCAAGAGTGCCGAATTCAATTTCCTGATGGATCCGGAGGCGGCGCACACAACCCTGGAGCGATTGACGCGGCCAGCACTAATCCTGCCCTGGGAGCCCTGCATCGATGGAGAGCTCGGAGTGACCCTCGACTGGCGCCTCAATGTCCTGGGCGCCATCGATCATCCCTTCGTCGAGCTGCTGACCCGGGCGGAACGCTCGATGCTGGTGCCGCGAGGATTCGTCAATTGGATCAGCTGCGATTCCCTGCTCACGGCCATCTACCTCTTCCCAGACGCCATGATCGCCGACCAGCGGGAGTACTATGCCACCGTGGAGCTGAGTGGCGTCCATACCCGTGGCCAGATGGTGCTGGATCACCTGCGGGGCCGCAAGGTGGACGCCATCCACGGGAAGGCGAGCAATGTGCGTGTCGTGAGAAGCCTCAAGGGAGAGCACTTCCGCACCATCATCGGCTGGACGGGATTCCTGCCCAGCGCCGATATAAAACCACTATGCGTTTAGCACCTAATAAAACCGGAAGCAACAAAAAAACAACCTTGTACATCGTTTTTTCTTGGGCGGAAGTCACTTCAAAGTTTAGATTTCCACAATTTTTAAACCGTACATGTTCTTTGTGTTAGGTAACTCTTTGTTGCACCGTGTATGACCTAATAAGGCACAAGGTGAGCCAAAAATAATATTAAAGAGATTGGGGAAGTACAAACATATAGTATTTGTCACAGTTAAGGTTTAATCTTCGTCAAAAATGATCTGATAACCCATTTTGGGGGGTATTTAAAAGTTACTATGATCACTTAAAAATTTGGAACCCAGTCTTTCACACTGCTATATACTAGACGGAACCAGTGGCGGATCTAGGGTTGCTGGCGCCCGGGGCAAAGCGAAAAATTCCGCCCCCTCCCTATTTGCTGTACGAATAACATTAGGAGTATTTAAAGTGTAAATAGGTTATTAATTATTAAAAGCTTATATGTTTGAAGAATTGTATTTCATATCGATTCTTTTGTCAGTTACATTATTATTTGTGTTTTTGCAAGACAAAAAAATATTATAATATTAGTATAAAGTATAATATAATATTATAATAAAGTATACTTTTAGAATATAACTTTTCTGGCCTTGATTGCCGCAAATTCAGAAATAATATCATTGTAGTCGAGTGATGCTGCTACTTCATTTTCGATAGGAAAATATGAATTCTCGAAACATATATTGCTAGTCGGACTCGATTTAGCGCCTCTTAGATTTGGCACCCGGGGCGCTTGCCCCTTTCGCCCCCCCCTAGATCCGCCACTGGACGGAACCAACAAGTACCAGAACCCAATCCATTTGAAACTACAAAAATGACTGGTGTATATTTTTCCTTCTAGAGAGGTGTATAATCAGTGTTCCATTTAATCGAACCGATGCGAGTGTTCAAATTCACAATGTGCTATAAATCTACATGCATTTCTAAAATCAAAATTTTTCAATTCTCCTAATAAAGTGTCTTTATAATTTTAGTAATTTTACATAGTCCTTGAATTCTTATAACTAAACTTTAAGTCGGTTCTTCGATTCAGAAAACCAATACAATTTGAATTGTTTTCATGTACTCAGTTTATTAATCAACAAAATCTTATAAATATGGTTTCCAAAAAATTGTAGAGGATAATAATGATCTGATCTGAATTAAACTGCGATTATAGAACACAGTTTCAATTTAAAAATGTATAGCTTTGATTTTTAAAGTGTTTAATATTTGTTGGTTTTTTGGGTAAAGTGTATACAAACAAAATTGTTTATGAGTACCCAAATGGACTAACGAACATATGATCTCTAAAGCGCCTCACTTTTCTTAGGCAAATAGTAGCGAGCTATGATATCGAATATATGTTTTGTCCAGATTTATAATTGACGTTCCTAATTTTTTTTATAATATAGTTCGCGTTGTGCGATTGTAACCATAGAGATAACGAATTTGTCTTAATTAATAAACATACAGTGCGTTTTTATGGTGTCATTCTTGAAAAAATATTACGCTAGTTAGTTGTGATATTTTATTTCATGCTTTGAGTAGAATTTTTACGAGAAATAACTTTTATTTTACGAAGAACTCATATTAATACCAATGTTCCAATATCCAACACATATATTTTAATAAGTAATGTAAAGCTTACAAGCCAGCTTGTAAAATTATAAACCAATAACTGAAAAATCCGTACTTTTGGAATAATAATTGGGGCTGATTCGCATATTTTATAAGGCTGGGGCTTATATCTACACCTTTCACACGCACTGCACACAACCAACAACACAACAAGTGATAATTTTTTTTGCGAAGCCAGACAAAATAATTATATATTTAACAAAAGGTGTGGCAAAAGATTTGCCTAGTTATTTGTTTAAGATTGTTGTACAAATTGTTTGGACAGAGAGACAAAAAGTTTGTCCAGTTTTTTACTTGAGCATTAGACAAGATTAAAGACTTTAAGATAAGGCAAACGGGAAAAGACGTTACAAAGGCCGACTACATCGAAAGGGATCTTCAAAAAAATGTGATCTAGAAGGATGACGCTCTAAAATGACTACGCCTAAGCCTACGCATATGGATTTTGTATATATACAGGATAATGCCTTTTGCTGCGGTTTTATAGTAAAGCTATGTATTTAGTAGTTTGCAAAGCATGGTCTGTCAAGTGCTGAATATGACATGCAAATAATGGTAAGATTAAATGGAGCTTAAGTATTTTTTCTCTTATATTTAGTACATGAACGATCAATATTTAAGATACAAAGGTTATAAGTCCCTTTTTTCAATTCCAAATTGGTAATTTTGGTTCAATTCTCTTTTACTGAAATTATTAAGAAATGTAATTCTAATATAAGGTTATAATGTTACAGAGACTTGAACAAAATAAGTAATTCTAAAACTTTTAGCAATTAGGGGGTAAGAATTTCTTTGGAATTTAATTTTTTATCCCATTAATGTGGGGGTTAATATGTATGTCAAACATTTTAAGGAAACATTTTTCTATAAAATACCATAAGGGAAAACAATTTACGACCAATAGAAGGCACATAGTTAAACAAATGTAAATTACGACTTCCAAAACCCTAAGATTTCTCACTGAGGGCAGCAAAAGACATCAAGCTGTGCTGATAAAAAAAAAAACATTGTATATTTCCAGTGCTTTGCGAGTATGTTGTTCCTAAACAGGAATGCCGGTGCGGTCCTTGATCTTGCCAAGCACATTCACGTGCACCTTGGAGTAGCCGCTGGGCTTCTTGGATAGACCGCCGGGGGCAGCGGCTCCTGGCAGCGGAACCGCCGCCGTGGAAATGCCCACATCGATGGAGGCGGATGCCGAGGCCGAGGACAAGGGCGAGGAGTGCTTGGAGTCGTCCCCAGGGAAGGATCTCTGGGTGGACAGCAGCAGGTCCTCGCTGCTGGGACGCAGCTGTGCCGACGAGGGCGTGTAGATCGGCTGCAGTTTGTCTACCTCGTCGTCGATGGCTTTGAACTGCCAGCTCCAGTTGGGCCGGTACAGGAAAGGGCGATGGTCGAACCGATTGTCATCCGGACTGTAGCTCTCCGCATGCACCGACGGCGTCAGCACGGTCATCTTGTGTCGATTGATGGCGTAGCAGCGGAAGAAGTGCTTCACCTTTTCGGCCACCTCCTTGGGACTGAGGTCGCCCTTCCAGGTGGCCACCAGGCGGCAGAACATGCTGTACGGGCCGCAGAAGGACTGCTTGCGCAGGCGCCCGTACTGGGAGAGCTCCGCATAGGTCATCCCCATGTCCTGCTCGTCCGTCTGCTGCAGCTCCCCGTTCTCCTGCAGCGGTTCCAGTTCGGCGGTGGGCGGGGCATCGATGATCGACTCCAGCACGGGCAGGTTGAACCTGGAAAAAAGCATTCAAGGGTTAACAAAGCAACTAGCTACTTTTGGGGGAGAAAACACATGGGTGTATCTCAGAAAAATGTAGAAGGGAAAGAAGCCAAGATAAAATCAGTTACTTATACATATTTTTTTCGCTCTGTGTAGTACAGATAGGACTCTACCATTTTTACACAAAATATATTATTACACAAAGAACATTTCTACATCATTAATTTCTGAACCAAATAAGCGAAAGGTTCTCAATTTGAAAAAATGTCTTTTTACTTATTCAAGAAGAAACGTTCTTAAAATCAAGATGAAATGTCTCTCTTTCTCCCTCTCTTTGTTGTACCATCTATACGATCTGGTTCAAGCGATCTTGAAATAGAGATGAAAACACTTCCTATATATTTTAGGAGTTTCCCAGATTGAATACATCTTGGCTCCCTTTTGAGAACATTTTTTTCTGAGTGGGGCGACATATGCATTTATGCACCCATCACTTAAATGAGAAATCCAGCTTACTTATCCTTGGCGTAGGTGAGAAATCTTCGCAGATCCATCTTGGATATCCCGCCAATCGGATTAATGTCCGCCGAGGAGCAGTCGTACTTGGTGAGGTATCCGCGCAGCGACTCATCCACATTGGCGGACCCCAGGACGAGCAGGCCACCCGGTCTGTTCCGCACCCACAACATCAGTTGGGCGAAGATGTAGGCCAGCACCATGCGAATCCTCGACTGCATATTCTGGAGCGCCAGATTCTGGCGGGCACAGCCGCCCTGCGTCCGGAATCGCGGGGTCAGCCCAGTGACGGCATTGAATATGCCCAACAGAGCATTCACCGCCGAATCGATGCTGATCTCGATGTGGTAGCTGCCCAGTTGGCTGGCCAATTGGGTGGCCCTTCGCCTCGTCTCCTTGCTGCTATTCACGCTGCCCATATAGCAGGTGACCAGCAAACGGTTGCACAATCCGGCGGCATTATCCGGCGTATAGTCCGTATCGGCCAGGATCAAACGGATGTCGTGGAGCACCTGGGCATCGCCCAGTTGTACAGCCTGCACGATCTGCCGGCACATGGAGTGCACTATGGTGGCGGAACTACTGGAATCCACGCCGCCGCTGAGGGGCAGGAAGAATCCCCCTTGACCGGATCTCCTCAGGTAGTCCCACAGCCAACAGGCCGGTCCCAGGGCGATCTCCTCCTCCGGTGTGTGAATGGGCCAATTCAGCGGTGGCGTCGACGTCTTGAAGATGTCACTGTGCGTGGACATCTCAAAGTCACAGTGGATCCTTGGGTAATCCGGTGCATTGGCAGCAGCCGAACAGCGCGAACGTAGGCTCACCCGATAGGCACGAATCTCCTCCAGATCGATGGTGGCCAGCGTGACCTCCACATCCTGCAGGGCGAACTGTTGTCCCCGGGCCAGGATCTCGCCGTTTAGAGCAATGGCCGAGCAGCCATTGAAGTACACTCTTTGGCCATCGCAGCCACGAAGATTACTAAACAGATATGCCCCGCCGGCCTTGAAGCTGGCATTCCGAATGAGATCGGAGGTGATGTGGGCCTTTCGCAGCTCCATGTAGCTGCCAGAGCTATTGACGATCAGCTCCACGCCGGCCAGCGACATTTCGATGTGCTTGCTGCGCACATTCCACAGCTCCTCG